ACCAAACTCGGGTCTTCTGGAAGAGCAGCAGGTACTCTGGGTGGCCAAGCCATCTCTCCAGCCCGTGAGCTAACCTTTGGTTTGACAGATTCTGATTTATTCCTTTAGTCTCCATCCCATTAGTTTCTCCCCCAACCTCTCTTCCTTTGTACGACTCACTGCTCTTGGATTTGGCTTGTCCTTTTCCTAAGACCTTAAGTTGTATTAGTAGGTTTTTGAGATTGCTGATATTTATTTATTTTTTTTGAGACAGGGTCTCACTATGTTGCCCTGGCTTGCCTAGAACTCAAGTTGTAGACCAGACTGGCCTCAAACTCACAGAGATAATATGCCTTCCTCTTCCTTCCAAGTATCGAGATCAAAGGTGTGCATCACCAGGCTTGGCAAGATGTTTTTTTTGTTTGTTTGTTTGTTTTAATAGTGTCAGCACTTATAGCTATCAACTTTTCTCTTAGAACTGGCTTAGTTGTGGCCCGGTGTGGTTGGGTGTGGTTTCACCTTTATTCCTAGCTCTTAGTTCTAGGTCAGCTGGGGTTACAGAGAGACCCTGCCTCAAAAAGACCAAAAACAAAACAAAATGAAACAAAAACAATCCCCTAAAACTGACTTAGTTGTATACCAAATTTTATGGTAATTTGTGCTTTCATTTAAATTTGATTATAGAAAAATTTAAAATTTCCTCCCTGATTCCTTTAAGGACTAATTGGTCATTCTAAAGTGCACTGTTCAATCTCTAGGCAATTGTGTAGTTTTGGTAGTTTCTCTTGCTAGTGATTTCTCATTTTATTCCACCATGATCTAAGAAGACAGAAGGCATTATTTTGATTCTTTTGTATTTGTTAAGACTTGCTTTGTGACTTAGAACATGGTCTATTTAGAGAAAGTTCCATGAGCTACAGAGAAGAATGTGTATTTCATATCTTCAAAAATTTTTTTAGTTGAGTTTTTGTGTATTTCATACAGAGCATCTTAATCATCTTTATACCCCCTTCCCCACTGACCCTCTTCCATAGCTCCCCCCGACTATATTCATACATTCTGTCATTTGTGTTAAGGCCTGTGATATCAAGTTACACGCTCAGATGTCCCTCAATGCAAGTTCATCCACTGAGGTTTAGTCAGCCTATCTTCAGTCCCTCCTTTTAAGAAGGGACTTTAGCCAGGTATGGTGGCATATGCCTTTAATCCCAGCACTTGGGAGGCAGAGGCAGGCAGATCTCTGAGTTTGAGGCCAGCCTGGTCTACATAGCGAGTTCCAGGTCAGCTGGGGCTACAGGGAGACCCTATCTCAAAAAGACCAAAAAGAAAAAAAAGAAAAAAAAAAAGGGACTTCTGCTCTTCCTCACCCAGCAGTAATCAGTTGCCACTATTTCTTCGACTAAGATTTGGGCCTGCTGTCAGTTTGCACAGTTCTGTGCTGGGTTTTGTCTGCTTGTGTTTGCATGGGTCTTGTGCATGCTGACACCATTGCTGTAGGTTCATATGGGAAGGGTCCCAGGAGTCTGTAGGACTCTATTTCCATACGGTCATGCACCTCTTCGCTGGCTCTTGAAATCTTTCTGCCCCCTCTTCCACAATGGTCCCTGAGCCCTGGGTGGGTGATTATAATATAGGAGTCCTGTCCAAGGACCCACACACTGCAGACTCTTATTCTCCATGTTTTGGCCATTTGTGACCTTTTGTGTTCCTGGTGCTCTGTTGCATGAGGGAGCTTCATTGATGAGAATTGAAAGATGCACTGGTGTTCTCTTCATCCCTTGTTCTATGTTCTGTGAGCCTTAGGTATAGAGGTTGCATTTTAGATGTGCCATTTAGGCTTGGGCAATTCACAGACAATCTCTCTGTGACCAGTTGTGGAACTCTGTAACAATCTTTGTCTGTTGAAAAAGAAGCTTCTGGCTGGGCATGGTGGCACACGCTTTTAATCCCAGCACTTGGGAGGCAGAGGCAGGAAGATCTCTATGAGTTCAAGGCCAGTCTGGTCCATAATGAGTTTCAGGCTAGCTGGGATTTCAGGGAAACCCTGTCTCAAAAAGACCAAAAATGAAAAAAAGAAGAAAAAGAAGTTTCTTTGATGGGTGGTGCCTGGGATATTGGTCTGTAAATTTAAGGATCCATATTTTGCACATAGTAAGAAATTACCTTTGTCTAGGGATGTAACAGCCTTGGGGTTTTCTCTAAGATCTATGACCTCTCCAGCTATGTGTATTTGGTTAGGGTATTTCTTACCTTATGGATGGAATATTCTGTTATCTATTAGGTCCAGTTGGTTTAGTCTAACTCTGAAGTTTCTTTGTTGATTTTTAGTTTGGAGAACCCATCTAAAGGTGAAAGTTGTGCATATAAGTCCCCCAGTATTGTGTTAGGGTGTATCTAACCTTTGAAGCCCATTAGCATTTGTTTTATGAAGTTGGTGTTCTAGTATCAGTGCTGTTGCTATGACAAGTAGCCTCACCATAAATCAACTTTAGGAGAGAAAGGGTTTATTTGGCTTTTAATTCCAGGTCTCAGTCCATCATTGAGGAAAATCAAGGCAGGAACTCAAGGGAAGAACTTGAAGGCAGGCTTGCTTGCTATTTCACACAGCATTACCCTCAACAGAATAATTAACTTCACAGCCAAAGAAGTGCAGCAGGAACCATGAAGGATGTTGCTTGCTGAATGGTAGGCAGACGTGCTAGCTAGCTTTCTTAAATAGTTCAGCAACATGTGCCTAGGGAATGGTGCCATCCACAATAGGCTGGACCCTCCTATATCAAACAGCAATCAATACAGTTCCTCACAGACATGCCCACAGGCCAATCTGACCTAGACAATACCTCAGCTGAGATTTTCTTCCCAGATAATTTCAGATTGTATTAAGTTTTTTAGTGAAAACTAATCACTATGGTTGATAACCCCAATATATAATGAATATATATTTATAATGGTTATAACTTCTAGATGGTTTTCCCTGTATTAGAATGTAGTGGCCTCTTTCCTGTTCTAATTTGGACTTTAAGTTCTCTTTATTGGGCATCAGAATAGCCATGTCAGCTTGTTCTTAGCTTCCATTCACTTGAAAGATTGACTTCCATATTTTGATGCTCAGTCTGTGGGTGTCTTTGCTAGTGAGGTGTGTTTCTTGGATGTGACAAATAGGTAAGCTAGTTTTTAATCCAGTTAACCAATCTGTGTCTTTTGTTGATGAGTTGAGGCCATTTACATTTAAAGTTATTGTCTAGACATGTCTACTAATTCTTGTGATATTATTGTTTGTTTTTCTGGTTGATTGGATTATTTTGTGTTTTTGGCTTTCTCCTAAATAAGTATTATGGAATTGCTGGTTTATTGTGTTGGAAAAGATGGATTCCTTCCTAGTTCTCCTTTTTTTCATCATGAGAGGAATCTCTCATGAAATTTATTCTTTCTGGTGTCCCCTTGATTGAAATGGTCTTTCTCCTCTTTGTATACTATTCCTTTATCCTCTGCAGTATTGTCTTGGTGATAATGATCAAGAAACTCAATATGTGTGATCTAAGTAGGACATGAGAGTTCAGAATTTGAAAACTGAATAGAAGATGTCATTACTTGGGGCATCAAACCATATACAGACAGTAAAGTATATAGTAGATGATTATGTTTAAGATTAGCACCAAAAATATCATGGCTTCTTTAGGTACCTGGGAACCATGATGTTAGTAAATATCAATTAAAGCTTAAAATCCAGGAGAATAAGGACTTGGTCTTGACCATTGTTGGAGTCCTCATTGCTTAGAACAGTACCTGGCATATAGTATTGGCTCAGTAAATGCTTGGTGATAGAATAAGTAGAAGGAATTTATTTAGGCACTGGAGGGTCTTGGAGGGATCATCTTCCATTTATGTGTATTTTTCTACTCTTCCCCCATAACCCTTGGCATCCTTGGCTCTTAAAACCACATCTCCTGTAGACTGTGGGTCTATACCACATGTTGGGCCACCTCTCCCATTTCCCTGGGAATTCTGGACTTATTTTCTTACTTCATGGTCCAAGAGATGAATTTCTTTCAGTTAATTCCACACTAAATTTGCCCAAACCCCACACATTCAGTACTCTTTGACCCACAGGGCATGAAAGTCAGAAGTAAAAATAAAGCACACATCATAGAGCACAACTGAGTTATGCATTCACAGGAGCACCAGGTGGTTCCCTGCAACACATCTATTTATTTAAATGACATCAGAAGATGGAAGTCTGTTGAAACAAGGAGTGCACATTATTTCATACTGGAGAAGTGGCATTATAACAGTTTTTAAAGTTTTAACATTTATATTCTTAGACCCTATTGAGCTGGAGAAATAAGATTTGCCAAATGCCCAATCCTGCCTTAATTGGTCCTGCTGGCTTGCATCTTTTACTAGCTTTGCCTCAGTGTTGACTCTGGCACTATTTAAATTTAATAGTCGGGCGTGGTAGCACATGCATTTAATCCCAGCACTGTGGAGGCAGAGGCAGATGGATCTCTTGTGAGTTCAAGGCCATCCTCACCTACACAGTAAGTTCCAGGCCAACTGGGGCTACAAAGAGACCCTATCTCAAAAAGCCCCCCCCCAAATAAATAAATAAATTTAAAAGTTGACGGCGTGGGTGAATGACATCAAAGCTGACCATGCTCCCATCCATGAGTACACTAAGAGATTGCTGGTGAGATGAGGATGTGCCTCTGTCTGTGTGGTCAGTTTATGGCTTTCTCCATTTGGATGCCCACTGTAGACTTGCAGGAGGAACTGCTGCATGGCCCCTTGGAGCGCTCTCTGCCTGTGGGTGGGAGTTAGCTGCGTTACTTTGGTTTATCATATAGTCACTGTTTTAATGTCTCTTACACTTGTTTTCTAACCCCTAGGAACTCTAAGGGTTCCTCCAGCTCTGATGTCTAGGATCCTGTGAATCTTTTAGGGTCATTTCACCTGCTGCTAGGGGTTCCTGCTCCAAGTAGAGCCAGTGGGTGACTGCTCTGGGGGCAGCTTTGTCTCTGGAGAAGGGCAAGGTTGGCTTGATCCCAGTATGGCCATTCCTGGATTTCTGAGGGTTACCTGGGGCTTTTCTCCTCTTTTGCTGGCCCTGAGGAGTCTTCTTTTCTTCACTTGCCCCCTCCCCTTTCTTTTTCTGAAGCATCAGACTTCTTGCAATGAGATAAAAAAGGTAAAGTTTTCTTCTAAAAAAGGGCCTTTTGGCATGTCAGTAACAGTAATTACAACAGTAATATCAGTGACATCTTACACTTCAGGGTTTTAGTTTATATTTTACATAGTTTCTAGATAGCATTCCATTAACTCTTTTGAGACCCCTTTGGTGAGTCCAAAAGGGGTCTTCTCTCTCTTTCCTGACCCTGCTCAGGAGGTAACAGAACAGATGGACTCCTCTGCACATGGGAATCTCCACATAAACATTAACTCATACTTTGCAAGGTACAAATTGACTGTAGTCTTCCTGTCTATGGAATTTGGCTATTCAAGGAGAGTTTTAAATTCCATTTTTAGAGAAACTTTATTTGGGGAGAAATTCTTATAGCCTTGGTTTTTGGCATTTCTTAGTCGGGGCTTCCAAAACTGAGGAGGTGCTGGTTATACTGAGAATCTGTCCCTTCTGCTGCCTTGCCAGACTGTGTGCGGGTGAGGATGAGCATGGTGTGTGTGTGTGTGTGTGTGTGGAGGAGGGAGGCCCTTGTGTCCACAGAGGGAAAGTCTGCAGCCTGGTGATTCCTCCTAGAAATTCAAGTGGCAGGCTGTATGGACTTAGTGCCTGGTGGGGAGAGGTGAGTTGGGGGGTATTGGTGATGGAATAAGGGTCAGACTCATTTTGTGGGTGGAGGGTGGATAGGATGGCATTGGGTGCACCCCAGGACATGTGTTCCAGGACTGAATTTCTGAGCTTCCATGAAAACTTTGGGATTCTCCTTGAGATTATTGTATTATATCTAGCACAGCGAATTAGAAACCCTATGGCCATTTTTGGTGATAAAGCCCTCCTTCCTTGTCTAGCCTACTGTCTCTGCTCTCTTCCATTTTATTCCATGATCAGACCATCTTGCTACTGCCCTGAGCACACCAAGCTTCTGGCTCTCTTGCCCTAGCTATGTGGCTTTTCTGGATGAGAACCCTACCTTCACATCCCTCACTTGCCCTTGCCTCCTCAGGGGATGCCCCATATTGCTGCTACCATGGGCCTCTGGGTAATCCCCAAACATGCCAGGCCTTTTCATAGTTTGCTGACTTTTAGTAGGCCACTTCCTGTACAGTTTAATTCCTTCCCTGACCCTGGAAAACCCAGGAATGGAAATACCCTCTTCTGGACAACCCTCTTTTTCCTGTGTACGGTCATTAAGGGACTTGTATATATGTACAATAAAGCAATTATTGTTTTTCAGCCTTTTGGCTAAGATCAGTTAGTATAATCAAGCAATTGTCCATTTAGTTACTGTTCCTGTCCCAGACTGCAGGATCCTTAAAGGTACAGTGTGTTTCTTTCTCACAGGAAGTAGTGTGGCATAGTGGTTAAATGAGCAAATTCTGGATTCTGACAGCCTGGGTTCAAATCTTGGCTCCCACAACATATTAGTCATCTATTCCTCGGCAAGACCCTTAGCTTTTCTCAGTTTACTCAAGTGTAACATAGGTTTAATATAGTTGTTTTGAGAATTAAATGAATATATGCATATAAATATATAAATATATGGGTTGCAATTAGAATGATACCTTACTTATAATGTAGTGAGCACTATATAAATCTAACTATGAACATTTGCAACAAACCCGTCATAAGGTACAGTCCCTGGAACACAATCTGTATGTGTATGGCTGTTCTACATTTCCCTATCATCCCTTCCACCTCCCCTCCCTGTCTTCCACGTTTCTCTTCTTGACTCCTTAGGTCTTTACCTCTCCATTGGTCCTCAAAGAGCAACTGAACTCCTCAGGAGATTCTCAGAGGGGGAAGATCCCACAGTCTCTTTCCTGAGACTCCAGTGGTAGAAGCTTTAGGGGGAAGGAGAATGGATGAGCAGAGCCAGCTGAGATGCTTGCCATCTTGTGCTATGAGGAATGTGAGGTGGCCAATGAGGGTGGGGGAAAAGATGTGGGAGGACAGGTGAAGGGCCTTCAGGAGGAGTCTGAGGCTGGATAGCAATGCTTCTTTTACTTTCTAGAGACCTAGATATCTCTCTAGAAATTTTCTAGTGTCAAAGAAAGCAGGGGAAAAAAACAAAACAAAAAAACCCCAACACTGAACAGAGCAGAACAAGAACGAGAAAAACATGCAGGAACACAGCTGCTTTCTTTTGCTAATGATTCTTTTTGCTTCCTGTCTCTTATGCCCACTCATTTTGGGGAAAATCTCATTTTGAGTCTGCACTCTAGGCTTGGCTCCTCCACTTATCAGATGGTAGCATAAGGCAAGTTACAGAGCCTAAGAGGGCTCTGAGTGTTTTTATTTATGAAATGGGGTTCCCTGTACCACTCTCCCTCCCCAGAGAGGTAGAGATTGGATAAAGTAGTTCAGACAGGCATTAGACAGTACTGTAGCTGGTCAAAGGGTCTTTGCTGCTGAGATGGTGGTTTTGAAGACTAGGTGACCAGCCTGCCTATTGGGCATCCATGAGGGTGTAGCTCCCGGTCTTGCTCATAAGCAACCCTGCCTGCACTTGCTCTTCTGGTACTGCACTCTAAAGTACAAGTGGCTGGAGGGAGGAGGGTGGGCTAGGACTTGTGAGGAGGGCCAGTGTCTGGGGAGATATTATAGGCCCCTCTTTCCTTCCCTTTCTGGGGAAAGGCAGGAAAAGAGCAGTTTGCGAATTTAGCAGAACAGACTCAGCTGTTGAGCAGAGTTTATGGAGTTAGCTCTCCTAAGGAGGCCAGAGCCAGCCTGGAAGAGGTCTGTCCATGAATGGCGGCCTGAGGCAGATGGTGGGCAGGCAGGAATGCTCTAGCCTGTAGAAACCGCTTCCTGGGAGCAAGGGACACCTTGAGCCGGGACAGCGAGGACTCTTAGAAGCTTGTGAGGATGGGGGAAAAGGAGAAAGAAAAAGGCCAAGAAGCAACAAAGAACGCTTTTCCTTCTCTCTTCCTCTTCCTCCCCTTGCCCTGCTCTGGGTCTTTGCTGACTTGAGAGCTTCATACACGTAAACCTCCTCTTTCCTCAGGCAGGCTCGTTTCTCTATTCTTATCCTTTTTTGTTTAAAACATTTTTATTAATCTTTTTTTCTCTTAAAAATTTGAACAGCTGTTTATAAAGACACAACAAATACACAACACAAAACAGAACTTGGTAAAAATAACGCACTATATGGTACATATACTCGGACGGTGTGATATATTTATATAATAAAAGATGAAAATAGTCACTTTCCATAATAAAAATAAGTTCTATTTTTGTTTATTTTACAATATACTTAATACTCTCTTCTTTTTGCCTCCTCTCCAGCTTTCTTTCACTCCATATTTCAGAGGTCCCACGTGGCTGTCCCCAGCCCCAGTGAGCTGGAGTCTTGAGAGGCGGTGGGTGGCAGGTGGCAGAGGGGCTCAGGAACACGTGCGACAGCCACACTCTAAGTGTCTCTCCACCTCTTCCACGAATGAGGAGCCATCGGTGCACTGGAAAACGTATTTCCGCCGCTTGCTCCGCACTGGCTGGCAGCACTGGCTTCCGCAGCCCCCACGGCATTCCATGATGGGCACCTTGGAGGCAGTGGCACAAGAGGCATAACCTTTCTGGCGGCGGATGGCCTCTCGGACTATCTCCCCCTGACATGGATTCTCTGCAAAGGGCAGAAGAGGTTAGTGTCAGGGTACTGGAGGTACAGGTGGCTGGCAGGACTGAAACCAGGTCCTAGATAGGCTGTTAAGAAACATTTGTGATCTGAAGATGCATACTTATCCATCCATCCATCCATCCATCCATTCATCCATCCCCACTTGCCCAAATTCTAAATGCTTTTTCTGTGCCAGGCTCTGTACAAGCCTTCTAATGGGGTCCTGAGAATATTCTGGTGGCAAGAGTGGGCTTGGTTCCCCCATCCTTCAAGGAACTAGCAAGCTGTGGCAAAATCCTGTCCCCAAATAGGTTTTGGTTTCTATAATGTGCTTAATTTCTAACATTTTAAAAATGGGAATTCATTTAAGATTTTAGAATTCTGGCTTTTTTGAAAATGAGAGGCTCTGGCAGAGCTGAGCCTACTTCCTTGTCTTGCCATGGTGGGCAGACCGTAAGAGCTTTAGATGAAGCAGGAGAGTTCCAGTTTGCCCCAGATTGACCCTGCCACTCCCAGTAGCTGTCTCCCTTGGTCTAGAGTCTGGACACTAATGTTATGAATGCTGAACTGAATATATATGATAAGGCTGAATTGAATAGTTTCTGATAAGAAACCAAAGTAGAGATATGCTACTAAGAAAAGGGGCATGTTTATACAGAGCTCATGAAAATATGTTCACCTGGCCGGGGCCGGGAGGCCTTTGAGGAAGTGATGACAGCCAAGATCTGAATAAGAGACAAATGTTAATGAGGTAAAGGGCCTTCAGGTATGTGCTTTTCTGGACATCCTAGAAACAGCTGGAGAACAGGGAAGGGGACCCCCTATGTGTGCCGCAGTGTTCATCTCTGACACAACTCTTCATCGCCAGCCTCTACTTTTCCCGACAGTGGAAGGCTGTTTGCAGCAGGCACCGGGAAAGGCAGAAAGGGACATGCAGTGAGGGTCCAGAGTTGTAGTTATGCAGACTCACTCCTCAGCTCTGTGTCTCGGTCTCCTTGTCTGGAAACTCGTGACATGTTTACCTGTCCTGCTAACTCACAGCCTCTTCTGAGCATCAAAGGAGACCAAAGGAGGAAAGAAGGGCATTAGAGCTTTTGAAGCATTAATGTACTTCAATGTGATGCATGAGAGCTGAGTTAAGCTTCACAAATTCTTTGAGACTTTTAAGATTCAGAAAGAGTAAAGAGATAATAGCTGTGTGTGGGTGTGCATGTGTGCACAATGTGGGGAGGACGCAGGAGTAGAAGTGTGGCAACATTAACAACTGGGGTGAAGGGACTGAGAGCCGCTGTACTAGCCTGATAGGGTCTAAGTCTGAAATTGCTTCATATTTCAAATATGAAATCTTAGTTAACAGTATTTCATGCAGGTATTAAATGTAAGAATGTTTGAGTGACAGGGGGCTGGCCTGTCAAGGATGCTGACGTTAGGGAGGAGGACTTCCCATTGTCCATGAAGATGAGAAGCATTTGAATTTTAATATCGTTTAGTTTTAACTTTCCTTTTTCTGCTTACTCAAAAATACACAGCAAAGGAACCACTCACTAATTTGAGGTTTGTGAGAGTGGATCAGATCAAGGAACTACGTGCTGTTGATCTGGCACAGCTGGAAAATGGGATAGAGATTGCAGAAGGCCAGAGGAAAGGAAGGGGAGGTGAGAAGACGCGGCTTGTGCTGCCTCCTGCAGGGCAGGCCACAGGTGATCATTCCCACACTTTTAGTTTCACCCTTTGTAAGTCAATTTTCATTCACTTATGAAATACTAAATGTCTATGCCTTGGGAATCCTAACTTTATTTCTCAAGTTTCATTTGCTTTTAGAAAAGTTGATTTTTTTAAATGTATGTATGTATGTATGTATGTATGAACATATATATATATATATATTTTGAGGCAGTCTTGCTGGATAGCCCAGGCTAGCCTAGAACTTACTACATTTTCCAGAGTGACCTTGAACTTACTGATACCTTCCTGTCTCTGCCTCTCAACTGCTGGGATCAGAGGCATGTGCTACCACGCCTGGCTTAGCTTTATTTTTGACATATGATCACTGTGTATACTTGGGGGATAGAGTATGATTTTTTTTTTGAGACAGGGTCTCACTTTGTAGTTCTGGCTCACTTGGAACTCACTATATAGACCAGATCAGCCTCAAATTCATAGAGATCTATCTGCCTCTACCTCTCTAGTGCTAGGATTAAAGGTTTGCACCGTGCCCAGCACTATGATTTTTTTTTTTTATGTGTGCATACATGGTGTAATGACTGAATCAAGGTAATTAGGATATCCTTCTCCTCAGGCTTTCTCATTTCTTTGTGGTAAGAACATTAAAAATAGTTCTCTATTTTGAAGTATTTAATATTAAGGATAGTCACCGTACTGTGCAACAGAACTTATTTTTCCTACGTAATTACAGATTCTATACCTTGACCAATCTCTCTCCATTCCTTCTCTCTCCTCATTTCCCCAGCCATAAGCAGCTTCTATTTTACTCCCCCTTCCCCTTGAGATTGAATTCAGGGCCTTACACATGCTAAGCACATACTCTGCAACATCCTGAGCCTACCCTCTACTTCGATGAAATTAACTGTTTTTAGATTTACATAAGTGAGAGTTCCAAATGTACTGTTTTGCTATGTCTGTCTTATTTTACTTAACACAATGTCCCCTGGATCATCTATATGATCAGAAATGCCAGAATTTCACCCTTTTTATGGTTGAGCAGTATTCTACTGTGTATGTTGTATTTCCTTATCTATTCATCTGTTGATGGACACTGTCAGGCATATACCATATGGCAGACCTTTTAGTATGAAGCAACCTTCACACTGTTTGCCATAGTGGCTGCACTAATAAGTATTCCCATCAACAGAGTGAAAGGGGTCTCTTTGTCCCTCATCCTACAGGAACCTGTCCTCTTTTGTCTTTTCTAATAGAAGCATATTAACTAGAGATGACACCTTCCTTTGATGTGCATTTTGCTGAGGATTAGTGATGCTGACCATTCTTTCATTAGTGGCCTCTGTCCATCTTTTCAGCAATGTTCAGTTAGGTCTTTTGCACATTTTTATCTGTTTTGAGATAAGGTCTCACTCACTATATACCTCAGGCATAGCCCAGGCTGGCCTTAAACTCACTATCTTTCTGCCTCAACCCCCTGAGTGCTATGATTGTAGGCATGTGCCACCACACCCAGCTCTCCTGCCTATTTTAAAATCAGATGGTTTCTGTTGAGTTTTGTATATGTTTCGGATTTTAGCCTCTTTCCAGATGACTACTTTGCAAACATTTTCTGTTTTTAAAAAAATTTTAAAAAGATTTTATTTTTATTTTATGTGTATGCGTTTTGCCTGTATGTATGTGAGTGTAAAATTTGCATGCCTCAGGTCCTAGGAGGCCAGAAGAAGGTGTCAGATCCCCTGGAACTGGAATTACAGATGGCTGTTAACCAACATGTGTGTGCTAGGAAATGAACCTGGGTCCTCTGTAAGAACAACCAGTGTTCTTAACCACTGAGACATCTCTCCAGCCCCTTGGACACATTTTCTTAATTTAAAACTTATTCCTATGTTAAATTTATTCCTGGGTGTCCTTTAGATAGATATAAACAGGATTTTCTTTTTCTTTTAAATATTTTATTATTTTTATTATTTTATGTGTATGCGTGTATTGCCTCCATGTAGGTAAGTGCACCTGTGCCTCACAATGCCTGCAGAGAACAGAAGAGGCTGTCAGATCATCTGGAACTGGAGTTATGGACAGTTATTAGCTGCCATGTGAGTACTGAGATTCAAACCCGGGTCTTCTGCAAGTATTCTTAACCGCTGAGCCATCTCGCCAGCCCAGGATTGTTTTCTTGATTTTATTTTCAGATAGCTCACTATTAATGTATAGAAACACTTTGGTTTTGATATGCTGATTTTGCATCCTGAAGCCTTCATTTACTAATTCTAATAATTTTGGGTGGAGTTTTGATGGTTTTCTATGTATAAGATCATGCCATCTGCAAACACGAACAATTTAACTTCTTTCTTTCGTTCTCTGGTCTCACTGCTCTGTCTGGGACTTCATAACTATACTAAATAGAAGCGAAGAATGTGGAATCCCTGTCTTGTTCCAGATCTTGGAGGAACAGCTTTCTCTTTATCCTCATTCAAATGACGTTAGTAACAGGCTTGTCTTTTGGCTTTAAAGAATGAGTTGGAGGTACACTTTCCTCTTCAATTTTTGAAGCAGTCTGAGAAGAATTTACATCATGCTTCTTTAAATGTATGGTAGAATGAAGTTTTGAAATTGGCTTTTCTTTGATGGAAGCCTCCCTTCCTCCCTCTCCTCCTCATTCTTCCCTTTTTTGTTTTTGTGGGACATGGCCTCACATGGCTCAGGTAGGCCTCAGAATAATTTCCAATTGTTGGTTGTCCTCCCTCTAAGTCCCAAGTGCTGGGATTAGAAGCTTGAACCACCACACCTAGCTTCCTTTTCATTTGTTGATGGGAGATTTCTTATTACTAATTCACTTCCTTATGTCTTTAAAATTTTTTCATTTTTATTATCTGAGTGTGTTGCTTGCATGTATGTAAGTGCACGCATGTCATGCAATGCCTGCAGAAGTCAGAAGAGGGCTTTGAATTCCCTGGAACAGGAGTTGTAGACAGTTGTTAGCCACCATGTGGAGGAACTGAACCTGGGTCCTCTGTAAAAGCAGTCAGTGCTTTTAACCACTGAGCCATCTCTCCAGCCCCCTTATGTCTCCTTTTCCATCTGATTTTGAGCTTTCTCTCTCCCATTTTCATTTAACAAGCCCTTCCTTTTTTACTTATTACTTTTATTTTATGTGTATGAGTATGTTGCTTGCATGTAAGTGCACCCCTGTCATGCAATGTCCGCAGAGGCCAGAAAAGGGCTTTGGAGTCCCTGAAACTAGAGTTATAGCCATGATTAACATGGTTGTTAGTCACCATGTGGGGGACCTAAACCTGGAACCCCTGTAAGAGCAGACAGTGCTC